TCATTTGCATAAGTTTACTATTTCGCCGATTTCCCCTTTATATTATATTCACTCTTCACCCAGTGTGCTTTTCTTGCCCATTGCCTTTAAGCAGCAATTAAAAATTTCCACTTTCTTACACATTTTAGCACATTTAAGCCTCTTTTGTGTTTGTTGCATTCCTTGCAGGTACATACATACGTATGTATAACGTTGATAAATACTGTACTTAAGCAAGTGAAAGCGTATATAATTGCCTACGTACATATGTATGTAATAATGTACAGTGAACGAAATAATTATAGCCGCACCACATTTTGACAAATTTTAACATATGTGACCTGGTCTACGGAAAGGGGGCTTAGGTGTCAAAAAATCAATTTTCACTTTTTGGTTGATTCGGATGGAAGATGAGATGCTTTTTCACGTGGTGAAAAGCAGAAAATCCTAACTTGCTTAGAAGTGTACTAAAAATGTAGAGAAAGAAGAGTAAAAAAATACGACAAAATATAATTTATTGGTAATGAACAAAATACATTGAATTATAAGCTATAAAGACATGATTATACACTAGAAAAACGTATTATGGGCCAAAAATAATAATGCTGAGTAGTTTATGTACTGGACCAACAACAACACTTACTGGACATCCGGCGCGGAGAACAATTAACGAGATAATGAGAAACTGACGAAACGAGTTGCTTACTTTTAACAGCTTTTTCACAGAAAACTAGTTTTCGCACGTAAGCTCCCTTTTCGTAGACCAGGTCACATATGATTTTTGTTGTTATTTACTTTTGGCTATTTTTTATAAAATTATAGTTAATTTTTTTAACAAAACCCGTGTAAATCCAAGCTTCATACATTATGCGATATTTAAAAAGAAATCGACAAACGTACGTAAGAATTTCTGGCTTTTTTAATTCGATTTTCTAGAGAGATTCTGAATATGCAGTAGCTCATTGAATTCTTGTAGAATGAAGCGCAAGTTTGAAATCGCTTAAAATTACCCTTGGTTTTTTAGTTTTTTTTTTT